GGCACGAATACATGATGTATCTTCTGTGAGCACTCCGGCTACCGGAGCAAATCCCAGTTGATTCTTGAACACGTCTTGGTATTCGTCAATACCGAATCGATACCGGCCAACACAAGATCATAGCGTCCTCTTAGTTCATCTGGTCTTCCATTCCATGGAGGAATGAAGAATGATCTGGGTTTGGACGACTTCAGAATCGCAAAGTCCAGCTGAGAGCTGCGAGCAACAACTTCAACAGCTTCAATACCTTCCTTCAACGCCAGAGACACCATGCTTCCCACAGTGTGTTGCTCCGTTAGAATATGGTCGCATGTCACCGCTAGAGTCGGGCTGAAAAACACACCCATTCCAACACCGTTGCGTTCTCCGTCTTCTTCCACGATCACAAATACTGCCTTTTCGACTTGTTCTTGAACGTTTGGCTGGATAAAATAACGTGAATCGCTTTCTGCGCGCTTCGGCACTTGCACAATGAGCGCATTCTCTCCATTATTCCCATACGCCGTCACTGGGGACCACGACTGGGGCAGCAGCACGTTTCGCTTCGCATCGTACTCCGCATGGTTCGCAAAGACTGCGAGGTCGACAGCATCGACGTTCGCGAGAGCGCTCGGACACTCTTTCTTCACTGCCTTTCGGAACGTATCCACATCTTCAACATCCACATCAACAGAAGTCGTCGATGTGAGATCCTTGCCGTTCCCGCCCACGAGCAGGAACCATTTTCGCGCCGCCATCCCTTCTACGCGAGGCGCACTAACGAAGTAACGTGCGACAGCTGGTACATCAAATTGACACAAACTTTACATAGAACTACACTACGCTAAACGAATCGACCAATTAAAGACAAGGACGATCGAAGGCGAACGCTGAAACAACAAACGTGACCCGTGTGACAGTATCGTTGTTCAAATCAATCGAGACGGATATACATGATGCCCCATGATTCATGGGGCACGGGTTGGCGATGGATGCAATCGACGCGTTATTGAGCGGCAATTGACGTATGCGCTTGCTGACAAGTGGATGTTAACGAAGACCAAAGGATTTAAGAAAGAAAGGTGCTCTTGCGGTAATGATCAAGGGAAGTGTTTTCTGTATCAATCTGTAGACGCGTCTCCGTCCGAAGATGCATTTCTGTGTCTGGAAGATGCGACGAAGGGCTTCTTTCACGAGGTTCATAAGTGTAAATGCATCGAAGGGAAGCTATCACTGGACGTTTCCAAGCAAGAGCGGTTGAAGGCTGCTGGTCCCGACGACCTATTCATCTTATATTGCACGAGCCCAGTGACGGTTGACCTATGGTTGCTGCCGAACTCCGCATTTGTTGATGCCACCTGCTGGGAAGCGTACTACGGCCCATTTGCTACTCGTGCACACTTCATCAAGTGTGTTCCGTTTTACCGTGCATCAACACGAGCTCCGAGGTTCAGCTGGAGTTCGTGGAGGGTGTAGGCCCGGCCTACCGTGCCCGAATCGCGAAGAAACGTCCATTTACGAGCTTGGAAGATGCTTTTGTGAAGACCAATATTCCTGTCAAGGTTCTTAGACGATTCAATTTCAACACGGAAGTATCGCTTGGTGCTTCTGGCATTGCATTCGTAGTCCTTACAGCAATCCTTCGTATGTTTGTTTCCACAGTGTGTGCAGATTTCATCTCGACATATTTGATTTTACGATGAGCGCGCTCGATCTCTTGCGGCTTTAACTGTTCCTTAGGTAATTTATCCAATCCGAACTTCTTTCGCATCCAAACAAGCAAGTGTCTCCGCATTTCAGATCTCGATATTTCCGCCCCTTCTTCATATGCTACGTTTCCCATAGCGAATCCGTAGCTGTTATTATTATAGCAGTCTCGCGAAAATCATTGCTTCTATCAATAAATGACTGTGGGGCAAATGCCGTCACCTTCTTGCTTGCGTATGTTTCTTTGAGCTCGATATACTTTGAGCGGCATCGATGCAAGAACGTAGCGAACTCTTGATCTTATACTTTCTGCTCAAGTTCCACATCGACTTCGTCATCGGGAACTTGCTTGCCAAATTTAACAATCATCAGACGACGAACGATTTCGCCAGCTTCGTCTGTGTAGTTCGGCATATGATTCGAGTTAAGGCGAGTTGGAATATTTCAATCTAGCACTTCAATGGAGCCTTTCCCTTTGACGGGGCACGAAATTGAACCGCGAGTCAGCATTGATAAGAAATATGATCGAAGAAGCGACTTAGCGATGTTATGAGGCATCTCATCGCAGCAAAATGGTCTGCTTCGTGACACAATCACGCAGGCCAAATTTTTCTTGCATTGAGTTACTAAGAAGTCCAATACGATTATGCTGACGGCAAAGACGTGCTAAGCGAAAAATGGTTCAATGGCGGTGTAGGCGGTGAATCAACCACCACCTTTGTGCGATCGATTCATGCGTAGAACGGAGAACGAGATATGTTTTCTCTTGAAAGGAAGTATCACCCCATGGCCAAGATGAGGCTAACGCGAATCCGTGTTGAATTTGAATCGTCTAAGAACCTTGACTGGAATCTTGGTCTTCACAAAAGCATCTTCCAAGCTCGTAAATGGACGCTTCTTCGCGATTCGGGCACGGTAGGCCGGGCCTACACCCTCCACGAACTCCAGTTGGACCTCGGAGCTCGTGTTGATGCACGGTAACGGAACATACTTGATGAAGAATGCACGAGCAGCAAATGGACCGTAGTACGCTTCCCAGCAGGTGGCATCAACAAACGCGGAGTTCGGCAACAAACATAGGTCAGCCGTCACTAGACTCGTGCAATATAAGATGAATAGGTCGTCGGGACCAGCAGCCTTCAACCGCTCTTGCTCGAAAACGTCCAGTGATAGATTCCCTTCGACGCATTTACACTGATGAACCTCGTGAAAGAAGCCCTTCGTCGCATCTTCCAGACACAGAAATGCATCTCCGGACGGAGACCCGTCTGCAGGCTGATACAGAAAGCACGTCCCTTGATCATTACCGCAAGAACACCTTTCTTCCTTAAATCCTTTGGTCTTCGTTGGCATCCGCTTGTCAGCTAGCGCATACGTCAATTGCCGCTCAATAACGCGTCGATTGCATCCATCGCCAAACCGTGCCCCATGATGTATATCCGTCCACAGCACAGGCTCCTCCTGGGCGAAAGCTTGCGATTTCAACACTCGGAACTTGCAGTTAAAATGCTCCCAAAGTTGCCAAGGTTTCAAGTCTTCCAACCGTTCTGCCGGTGCGTAAGTAGCATGTTTGCTCCATGGAATATCATGCGTTTCCAGCAGCATATAGAGAATGAACGGGCATTGGAGGTGGGTTCCATCTAGTCGAATCAACCCGCACGAGATAACTTGATCAAGCGTTAGATTTCCGAAAAGCGAATTTCCATCGACCCTCCGACGAGAAATCACCGCAAGAAATGCTTGCTTCATACTCTGCATCTGGGCAACAATCGCAGGGTACGCTTGTCGAATTGCAGCCAGCACTTTGTGCATCACCGGAATGAATTCAAAAGCTTGCCCCTGGCTTTGCAGCATCACTTTAAACAATTCTTCCAATGCTCTGCCATGCCCGCCCATGTCATCCACCAATAGCTGCGTCAAAGTTTTATTGCCATTGTTGAATGCATCAAATACGTCTCTTCCATCGATCTTCGGGCGCTCCAATGATGTCGTCTGCAGCATCTCTCTCCATTGTGGCGAAGCGGCCAGAAATTCATCCACTGGCTGGTAAATAGTCGCCGCGCAGATCACAATCAGCAAGCACTTGGAGGCATTGACGAGGTCACACAGCGACGCAAACGCCGTATAAAACTCGGAGCGCTTGCTTCCTGCTTCATGCGGAAGCTTTTGCAAGCTGTCGACACAGAGAATCACGCACATTTGGCTCGGATCCGTTCCAGTGATTGCTGACAATTTTGACAATACTTGTGCAGGGACAACATGATTCGCATGATCCAACATAAATTCGTCCCAGACGACCGAATCCTGCAGTTGGTACAGCATTCGAGTTCCAATTGCCTGGCCCGGATCAATAAAATTACCTGGCTTGGTTGTTCCATTTTCAAAGGTGATCTTGAAATTGTAGGCATTCCGCAAAAGCTGCTTCATCGCTGGATCTCCTTGCGTCTCATCGCAAAAGATTTGCTGCTGCAAGATTTTCGGAAATTCGTCAAGCAATCTCGACTTTCCAGTTCCGGGGCCATCTAAGCACACGAATAGCGGATGACTTCGCTTGTCCGTCTTCCCATCTCTCCAAGCTTCATAATGACGACCGATAGCAGATGCTAGGTTGCCAAGATCCAATGAATTCTGGAAATCCCAATTCGCACCAGTCGTTGCGACCAACGACTTTGGCTCCTTCCAAAAGAACGACTGCTGCGATAACGCTGGCACCACCGCTTGACGCTGCGTCGGCACTTGCACAATGAGCGCATTCTCTTCATTATTCCCATACGCCGTCACTGGGGACCCCGACTGGGGCAGCAGCACGCTTCGCTTCGCATCGTACTCCGCCCGGTTCGCAAAGACTGTGAGATCGGACGCAGCAATCCCTGCGAGGTGACTGTCTGTGAACTTCTCCTTCACCGCATGCCGCAACGCAACAACATCTTCGATATCCACGACAACAGCATCAGTCGACGTCACCGCGTTCCCATCTTCGCCTACATTTCCGCGCCATTTCACACGGCAACTTCGAGAATGAACTCTCATGAAATAACGCATAGCGTATCGTTTATGTTTCATCGTCCGCTCTTCATACCCCTAAAAAGTAATCGAGAGTACCCCTAGACACCCTCAGAGACAGCGATGATGTAGTACAGCCTGTACCATGTAGCACTTCCAAGGGTGTGTAGGGGTACTCCCGTTGCTCTTATATGGGATGGTTGAGCGGACGACGAGCGGACAGGACGAACATTCTCGATGCCCATTCTGGGGACAAGACGACAAAGAAACATGAGCGTTGCTTTCTTTGGGGACGGGACTCATACTCGTCACCTGCAGTAGCTACGCGGAACAACCGTGCGCCCAATCAAGCTGTCGCTGCGACAGACGCAGTCACACCGGCGTCAATGACTCCTCTGCTTTCCAGCATCGATCGCATCAGCGCTGCTCTGGAAGCTGCAGTGGCACATCCTCCACCGCCGACCGGTACAGTGCGTGTGTGCCACGCAACGGAAGACGAGTGGAACGCGTTTGCAGACAGCGAGGATCCAATCGCTCGACTCAATTATCTTGAAGGGTTTCCTGACACGAAAGAGATTCACATCATCGAGTTTGCCGACGCTCCGCACAAAGATTACGTTGGAGAGCTAAACGATCAATTTCGTGAGCGGCATGTCAAGCGATGGCTCAAAGGCCACTTGGCCGCCAAGAATTCTCAAGGGCGACAATGGTGCTCAGATCTCAGTTATGGACCACGCGAAGAAACACCCGGCTCGGTGCTTCCTCCAAACGTTCCAATATTTGCAGACTTTCGGACGATTGAGGTTGAGATTGGAGTTTCTCAGCAGTGGGGCATGGCACCTGGAGAGCTCGACCACAAGGCGATTGCCATATGGGCCGCGATGCCAGGAGTCGAATATGTGCTATGTGTGTCATTCGATCCCGACTTTGCGAATGCCGAATACAAGCTGTATGATGCTCGCGTCCATCCACTTGTGCAGCTGGCTCCACTTCCAATCGTCGCTCGAAACACGGTGATCCAGTTGGACGGACGTCGAATCCTTGGTATTCCGCCACGGATGGCGCTCCCGGTAGGGTTTCCTGCAACTCTGTCGGTGGATTTGTACTCTCCATTGGCCTGGGCAATGCGTTAATCAGACGTCCAGCAAACTCTTGCGCAGCAACTACCGAGTGATCTGAATTTTATATTTAAAAAAAATAATCATGAATTCATGGTGGCAGACCGGTTTTATATATACCGGTATGAGCCGGATTCTATTGTGACATTGCACGGTGACTCTAAAAGTGAATACTGCGTGAGTATTTGTTTTAATACTCACAGAGTTTTATAAAAAAATACCACGAGAAGTGCCGTCGTGTACTGGGTATGTGAGTACAGTACTGCACCCCGTTTTCGCGAGGGCGGACCATTTAGGATTTGCAAATAATTTAGATTTAAGCATAAAACAATAGTTCATTTGGATTTAGGATCATCACATCCGGAAGTTTATCAAAGGTCCAAGGGCGCGAAAATGGGGTGCAGTACTGTATTTTAAAATGGCCTTTTTAGCCACCATATATTTTGCTTTTTATATGAAGGGGCCTCGCCTTCAACAAAATGTAGAAGTGGACTTCTTTATCTTATGTACTAGCAATATGCATGACTACTGAAAGGTCGTCCGTTCTGCAACCACCAGCTGAAGTGCGTCCGTTGTAATCTTCAACGTGTTGCACTTGTACTAAAGCAAGTGCCGTCGTCTCGTGAATTTGTGGGTATGTGAGTATTATAAAATGACCTCTTTTAGCCACTCCATATATTTTGCTTTTTGGTGAACCCTGCTCACAAATATTTACTAATGTTATAAAGTTACTATAGGACATGTTCTAATTGAAAGCTTTGTAAGCATTTTGCAATCACTCTCACTTTCATCTAAAATCTATCTCCTATTGATATTAGATGAGCCAAACCTTGTCTCGGTCATTGTTTCGTGTGAGACAAAGCTTTCACGGACATACTCGACACATTTAACATGAATACAAGTCATATGATCCACTCGCTAATGTGACTTCAGCTGGAACGCTCCAGAGTGTGACATAAAAAAAATTATGATCTTGAGCGACGATTATGTATAGTATAAAATATAACTTTAGTAATATGACAATGTGCAGCTTTATCAAAAAGAACGGAGAACAGTGTTTGCTAGCTCGCAACAAGGATCGCTGCGGCAAGCATCCAATTATTATGGATCGGAAAAGTATTGTCGCGGAGTGTAATATCGTAGAAGAAATGTCACCACAAGCCAATACCCAGTCGTCGCTGAGGCTGTTAGCGCCATCGGTGATCGAACCCGTCGAGGCCTCGAATGTAAAAGTAAGTGAAGTTTCAAATGTAGATGAGTCGATTGTCGAACCGATGATCGTGGATAGCGTGGTATACATGTATAAGGAGGAATATAATTTAGATTCGGAATAATTATAGAATTCGGACGATTCTGAGAATGAAGTGACCTCGACAGCTAGTGAGGTCATTAAACCGACCGAGTCGCAATATCTTATCGTTTGTGTAAATTATCTTGACGAAATTGCAGAAGCTGAGAACCTTGTTCTCGATCAGCAACAAATCGATGTCTTGCGAAAGTTCGTTGAGGTTGATACAAAAAAATGCTAAAGGCAAAGATATTGAAAGCACGCTCAAGCGTGATTCTATGGTAATTGATCAGTTTGAACGCAAAATGAAAAAGCGTAAGGAGAAACCGGACGTCAAGCCAAAAGCCACGACTAGAACTGATGCAGAGGCTAAGGGCATCACTTGGGACACTTATGGACTTGAATACGGGAATAAAGACATTCTGAAGTTTTCTGAAGTAACCGATGCTTGGCGCTCACTTGCGAAGGAAATGCAAATCGATCATCAAAGCATTAAGAATGCAGATCCACAAGTATTATTCAGTCAGGGTTATATCTCACCAATCCAACTTGAAAATCGAAAAGATGGCAAAGTAACCTCGCGTAAGCGTATCTACTTCAAATCAGATGAGGACAAAGAAGCCTTCTTAGGGCTTTATGAGAAACTTAGTCTTGTAGAATATTGTGTGTCAAATGGACTATATGATCAGCGTCTAAACAAAGTATGCTGCATGATGAGTACTGTGATAACTATAATACTTGGAACTTGGCTGGTGTGCTATATCGCAAGCAACACATCGATCTTGGCTTAACGCGGAAGACATATTTGTCCATTCTCAATACAATGGCAGATCGATTTGATCAAGCCGCTGCGTTGAAAGTGTTCAATGATTGGGAAACATCCAAGTATTACCCCAATCCCAAATTAAATTTATTGTTGGAAACCGATCCAGATGGATACAAGGAATGGAAAGCGGAGTATGAACCACAAGAAGTCAAAGAAAAGAATGAAGATAAGGAAAAGAGAAGACCATTAGATATTCTTAAGGAGAAGCTGATTGAGAACGTCAAAGACAAGTATAAGCGTGAATTTCAATCTGGAGCAATCTATGAGAATTTGCTTCCATATTACTACATGTATGCTCGTGAAACTGTGTTTCTGAATGTAGTGTTTGCTGATGAACATATGTGCAAGTCGAAAGATCTTCAGCAATTGCTGTATTTCACAAAGAATATCATCAATCCTGACTTTGAGCTCATTTAGCTTGACTACAACTACATTGGATTCCGCAATGGTCTATCTAATGCGACGTTTGTTTTGACTACTGATATTGTAGAGAATATTCAGGTTCGAACATACATTGACTCAGAGTTTGAGCTCAATAATGACTATGCTCCGCTACTTGATCAATATCTCAAGCTCCAATTTGACGACGAGACTATTGAAGTTATCGATTTCATGATTGGTCGCCTAATGTAGACTGAATGACAAATTTGATTTCATGGTATTGCTTTATGGTGAAGGTGGATCAGGTAAATCGTTATTGATGAATCTTCTTAAGTAGTCATTTGCTTCTGATCCGGTTGGTATTTTATCTAACTATCATCAAGAGCAATTTGGGGATTAAAAGAATATTCTCAAAAACAAGTATTATGCTGTGATGATATGGATAATCTTGCTAAGACTTTACCAAAGGCTGATTTCTTGAGTATGGCTACTCCTGAATCCATTTCATGTCCGGTCAAAGGAAAACAGCGTTTAGTCATTGTGCTTGATTGGAATATTGGAGCTATTCTTAATGACAACAAGCTACCAAACTACAAGGATGAGTCAGGGGAAGTGGTTCGTCGTTTCATGGTCGCTAACTTTATGAATATCATTCCTGAAGAAAGGGAGAACACAATTTTTGAGAATGATATCAAAGATCAGGAATTTGGCGTCTTTCTACACCGCTGTCGATCAGCCTATTTAAAGTTTTATTTCAAATATAAGATCAAAGGAGTTGAGTCGTTCTGTCCAGTCTCATTCATTGAAAACCGCAACCTTCTTCGTATGGCTACCAACTACACCTACCAATTCATCTCCGAGAAATGTACATACGAAGAAGGTGCTTCTATCAGTGTTTCTCAATTGAATAAAGCCCTGAAAGCGTATATCAAGGAGCGATATGAAATGAAGCAAACGTCAAAAGATACGATCAATATCTCAAATTTGATGCTCGTTGATGCGAGGTTTGTAGAAAAGAAGCTGAATATCTGTAAGAGCGTCGCAAGGCGCACATAAAATCATTAGTAAATATTTGTGAATATGTTTGTGAGTATTAAACCACAAATACATATGAACTAGGGCGGGGGCTTCATAAAAAGCAACATTTGGAGTGACAAAAAAGGCCATTGTATATACATGTACTGACATACCGGTACCCACAAGATCACGAGCTCGTGGTATGTTTTTTTTATTATGAAAATCTGTGAGTATTAAAACAAATACTCACGCAGTATTCACTCGTAGAGTCACCGTGCAATGTCACAATAGAATCCGGTTCATACCGGTATAGAACCGGTCTTCCACGCATCTCATGAATTCATGATTATTTATTTTTAAATAAATATTAAAACTAAAATCAGACGGTAGTTGCTGCGCAGAGATTACTGGGCGTCTGATTAACGCATTGCCCGAATCTGAATTATATTCCTCCTTATATACCGCGCTATCCACGATCATCGGTTCGACAATCGACTCATCTACATTTGAAACTTCACTTACTTTTACATTCGAGGCCTCGACGGGTTCGATCACCGATGGCGCTAACAGCCTCAGCGACGACTGGGTATTGGCTTGTGGTGACATTTCTTCTACGATATTCCACTCCGCGACAATACTTTTCCGATCCATGATAATTGGATGCTTGCCGCAGCGATCCTTGTTGCGAGCTAGCAAACACTGTTCTCCGTTCTTTTTGATAAAGCTGCACATTGTCATATTACTAAAGTTATATTTTATACTATACATAATCGTCGCTCAAGATCATAATTTTTTTTATGTCACACTCTGGAGCGTTCCAGCTGAAGTCACATTAGCGAGTGGATCATATGACTTGTATTCATGTTAAATGTGTCGAGTATATCCGTGAAAGCTTTGTCTCACACGAAACAATGACCGAGACAAGGTTTGGCTCATCTAATATCAATAGGAGATAGATTTTAGATGAAAGTGAGAGTGATTGCAAAATGCTTACAAAGCTTTCAATTAGAACATGTCCTATAGTAACTTTATAACATTAGTAAATATTTGTGAGCAGGGTTCACCAAAAAGCAAAATATATGGAGTGGCTAAAAGAGGTCATTTTATAATACTCACATACCCACAAATTCACGAGACGACGGCACTTGCTTTAGTACAAGTGCAACACGTTGAAGATTACAACGGACGCACTTCAGCTGGTGGTTGCAGAACGGACGACCTTTCAGTAGTCATGCATATTGCTAGTACATAAGATAAAGAAGTCCACTTCTACATTTTGTTGAAGGCGACAAACAACAGGCCCCTTCATATAAAAAGCAAAATATATGGTGGCTAAAAAGGCCATTTTAAAATACAGTACTGCACCCCATTTTCGCGCCCTTGGACCTTTGATAAACTTCCGGATGTGATGATCCTAAATCCAAATGAACTATTGTTTTATGCTTAAATCTAAATTATTTGCAAATCCTAAATGGTCCGCCCTCGCGAAAACGGGGTGCAGTACTGTACTCACATACCCACAAATTCACGAGATGTGACAAACAAGTACACGACGGCACTTCTCGTGGTATTTTTTTATAAAACTCTGTGAGTATTAAAACAAATACTCACGCAGTATTCACTCTTAGAGTCACCGTGCAATGTCACAATAGAATCCGGTTCATACCGGTATATATAAAACCGGTCTGCCACCATGAATTCATGATTATTTTTTTTAAATATAAAATTCAGATCACTCGGTAGTTGCTGCGCAAGAGTTTGCTGGACGTCTGATTAACGCGTTGCCCAGGCCAATGGAGAGTACAAATCCACCGACAGAGTTGCAGGAAACCCTACCGGGAGCGCCATCCGTGGCGGAATACCAAGGATTCGACGTCCGTCCAACTGGATCACCGTGCTTGGAGCGACGATTGGAAGTGGAGCCAGCTGCACAAGTGGATGGACGCGAGCATCATACAGCTTGTATTCGGCATTCGCAAAGTCGGGATCGAATGACACACATAGCACATATTCGACTCCTGGCATCGCGGCCCATATGGCAATCGCCTTATGGTCGAGCTCTCCAGGTGCCATGCCCCACTGCTGAGAAACTCCAATCTCAACCTCAATCGTCCGAAAGTCTGCAAATATTGGAACGTTTGGAGGAAGCACCGAGCCGGGTGTTTCTTCGCGTGGTCCATAACTGAGATCTGGACACCATCGTCGCCCTTGAGAATTCTTGGCGGCCAAGTGGACTTTGAGCCATCGCTTGATATGCCGCTCACGAAATTGATCGTTTAGCTCTACAACGTAATCTTGACATAACTGCCTGCCTACGTGGATGAAGCCTGTGGCGCCTTGCAAGAATAAGAAGACGAGAAGATCCACCACAGCCAGGTTTGAAAATCTGAATGCTGTAGTTCGAATATTTAAACTAGACGAGGCGCCTCCCGCTCACCCACATATATATAGTCACTTTCCTTTTTTCCTCAAGAAGACCAAGTCAACCACAAAACCCAAGATTCGTCGCGACCCTCTGCTAGCCAAGGCGCGTCATTTTGATATATCAAATCTGCAAGGCGAATCAAGGACCTTCAGACATGGGGCGCAAGCAACACGACGAGGACGACTACGTCACCTACACGATCGTCACAAGCCCCACAACCGAGCACGCTCCAGCCGACACGGCCAAGATCCACATCCCCAAGTTCTACGGGGGCAACGCTAAGGACTGGCTGCGATAGAGCATGCGCTTCAAGAGCCTCGCTCAACGGAAAGGTTGGACAGTCGAGCAAGCCGCGATGCAACTTCTTCTTTTCCTGGACGGCGAGTTGAAGTGCGACGTCGAAGACAACGCCAGACAGGCGGTCCAGAACGGCTTATCCTTCACCGAGTTCTACGAGAGCATTGGAAGGCTGTTAGTCCCGGCCAACTACAGCGAGACGTTCGACGAAGAACTATGGAGCCTGGTGAAGCGCTCTAACAAGAGCGTCCAGCAGCTCTACAGACGGCTCAAGGAGCTGGTACGCATGTTTGCGGAACTGCCGACCAACGCGGAAGTCATTTCTGAGGTTCAACAGTGCCGGTTCTTCAAGCGAGCTATGCCGCACGCATGGCAAGACAAGCTCGCAGCATCTGGCGTCGCTCACGAACAAATGAGTGAGCTGATCCAGTATTTTGAGCGGATAGAGATGCGAGAAAAGGCTGGTTGCAAGGAGAAAGAAAGCAATAGTTTCAGCAAATTATTGCGCCCTTCGCGTTTCAACAAGCCCGAGAAGTCGGATCGTCACAAAGGTAACAAAGACAAGAGCAACCACGCGTCTTCGGCCTCGGCGCCCAAGAACCCGAACAAGTGGTGCACGCACCATCAGACCTCGTCACACAGCTGACTGTTTTGCGCTCAAGAAACAACAACAGGATGAGCATAAACGCGCTGCTGCAAAGAAGAAGGCAAAGCCGAAGAAGTACCCAAGAGTGTACAAAGACCGCCACAGTGACAGCGAGTCTAGCGACGAGGACGAATACAAGTTCATCGGACTGGTGGATCCAAAGCCCGTCGCCCCCAAAGCTCCTCTACGCATCGAGGTACAACTGCGCAAGGAGAGCAAAAAGATTCATGCGCTACTCGACAGCGGAGCCTCCAAAAGTGTGATCAACGCCGACACGATGAAAGTATTGTCGTCACATGGCCGCAGACAAGTCGAGTCCAAGACAACGTTCCAAACGGTGGGCGGTCAAGTCAAGAGCGATGGTACCGCTGTGCTGCAGTTTAAGTTTCCGCACCTGAACCCGACGACCAAGATTACCCACCGATTTGAGATCCTCGGTCACAGCTCTGACCCAATGGTCATTGGACGAGATCTCATGGAAGCACTGGGCTTAGTGCTCAATTTCAAGGATAAAATTGTCCAATGGGACGGCTACGCTGCCACGCTCAATACGGGCCCTCCCAGTGAAGCACCAGCATCGACAGTGACGACGGACAACGAGTTTCCTGACGAATGCAAGGAGACGGTAGACACGGCCGTCAGCCCAACAGACCTGATGCCCGACACCCTGTCAGGAGAAGTAGCAGCTCGCTACCTGAAACTGCTGCAAGACTACGCACATCTGTACGACGGACACCTCGGACGAATGCGCTTCGACGACTATGTGCTACCTCTATCACCTGACTTCAAACCAGTACATGCAAAACCGTACGCGATTCCGCGTAGCATAGAAGACAAGGCGAAGGCTGAGATTCAACGACTCGTGAATCAAGATGTTCTCGAAAAGATCTACGGCTCGGAAATGGCTTCACCAGCATTTTTCCTGGTTAGGGAAAACGGGACGTTACGTCTGCTTATTGATTACAGAGTTCTCAACAAGTACCTACGTAGAAGCCCGTACTACGTGCCTAAAATCCGCGAGATCCTGCTGCGGCTCGCTGGAGCTAAATTCCTCTCTTCGTTCGAAGCCAACATGGGCTACTACGCGCGCCGGCTCGCCCGACAGAGTCGCCCGTATACCGCTTTTTGTCTCCCCTGGGGCAAGTTTCAATACAAGAGGCTACCCATGGGCACCGCTACTGATCCTGATGAGTATCAGGCGTGCATGGAGAAGATCTTCGGAGACCTGCCGTTTGTTGTCGTGTACCTCGACGACATCCTCGTATTCTCCAGCACTGAAGATGAGCACCTGGAACACTTACGTGTGGTGTTCGATCGTCTGGACCAATTCCACATCACACTTAACGGCAAGAAGTGCCACATCTTGCGCGACTCCGTTAACTACCTTGGCTTTACGCTGACGGCTTAAGGTATTCAACCGCAAGCAAAAAATATTCAAGCAATCCAGCAGATTGCAGCTCCCAAGAACAGAAAGGAACTTCGTAGATTCCTCGGAATGATCAACTACTACAAGGACATGGTGCCTAATAAGGCTGCCCTATGTGCTCCGCTCAACCGGCTCACGAGCAACAAAACGCCGTTCACATGGCTACAAAGCGACACGGACGCGTTCAACGCGATCAAGAAGGCCTTTGCTGAAGCTGTTCTCCTCGCATTTCCAGATTTCAGCCG